AGTCGTTCTCAGTTAAATACCTACAGCAACCACAGTACTGAAGAGATACTGAAAGATTTCTTTCTGAGATTGGGAATAAGGCAATAGCACCTGATCTCCTCTTCTAATCACCACTGTATTGGAGGTCCCAGCAAGGAGACTAGGGCAAAGGGAAGAGGGAAAAAAAACTATTCAAGTCCCCAGTTTTGCTAGTAGTCACTTATTAAACAGTGCAGACAAATCCATCATTGCAGAATTTTCTGTTGGACAGCACTGTTTGAGATAATGTAGATTCAATCAAAACCCCAGCATGAGTTTGTTTATTTTGGTGAATTTGATGAGCTAATTCTAAAACATAGATGGACACACAAAAGGCTAAGGGTAGGCAAAACATTCTTGAAGAAGAACAAAATTCTCTACTAGATATTTAAAATTCTGAATCTGTTATAATTTAGACAATGTCTGGTTTTTAGGCAAAGACATAAGAAATCTAGGTAAGTCTGTATCCAGCAGATCAAAGAATCCAAAAACAGATCCAGGCATATGTGGGTGTATGATTTATGATAAAGATGACATTACAGGACATTGGGGAAAGTTTGTCCTTTTAACAATTGGTTCCTAGTTAATTGGATGTCCATTCTGGGAAAAGTGAAACTTGATTGCTGTCACAAACACAGAAATCAGATCTAAGGGCATTGCCCGTCTCCAGGTGTGAATGGTAAAACTGAACTTTTGGAAGATAACATAGAATTTCTTCATGACTTTGATATAAGGAAAGATTTCTTAAAACAGCAACAAAAGAACTAACTTTAAATCAAAAGTTGGTAAAATTAAGAGATCACATTCATAAAAAAATAACACTAAGAGAGTGACAGTGCAAAGCATCTGTAATCAGTAAGGGCTTACATCCAAAATATGTTAAAAATAGACTTTTTAAAAAATGTAGACATTTGTACGAAAAAGACTCTTCATAGAAGAGTAGAAAAACAATCTGGGCATTTCACACAAGTGTCCAGTAAATAAATGAACAGGTGCTCACAGTCATCAGGAAAACACATTAAAATCACAATGGAGTACCAATACACTATTGTGGCTGAAATTAGAGATACTGATGATTCCAGGTGTTGGTGAAGGAATGGAGCGGAGCACAGGGAATTTTCATAAACTGCTAGGGAAAAATTAGATAAAAAACAAACAAAATATAGGACAGCATCTCTGTATATGCAGAAAGACGTATAACAAAAATCTTCCCAGTGGCAGTATTCTTAATAGCTCTGAACTGGAAATAACGCAATGTCAGTCAAAAGAAGAATGGATAAATAAATTGTTACCTGTTCATACAGTGGGGTACTATAAAATAATGATAATGAGCAAACTGTAGTTTGTTTAAACAAATTCACTTACATAAAGTTAAAACTAATCTGATTATGGAGGTCAGGATGCTAATGACTTTTTGGGGAGAGAGAATTCAGCATTGACTGAGGGGTCGTGAATTAGTGGTGGGGTGGTTCTGGGAAGACGGCAGTTTTTATTATTCCTGCCTGACAAGTTCAGTTGATGATAATTGTTTAAGTTGTATTCTGATTTCTGTATTTTTATATGTATAACAAACAAGTTTAAACATAGTATTTAATAATAGCACTGATAATAGAAATCAAAATTAATCTTTTTTAAGAAGTGGTTATTATGTGCCGGGTTCTATTCTGCGTGTCTACTTGTGGTATCTCATTTAAACTTTGTGACAGACCTAAGGGACTGGGGTTAGTGTAATAACACCTCTGCTGTAGGCAGGGAAACTAGGGCCCAGAGTGCCTGTCTTTACGACACAGGTCCTTAGTCTTTTTACTGTCTATTTCTGAGTTGTTTGTATATCAAGGACCTCAGTTCTTTTCATATATATTTTTATTTATTTATATTCCTTCCCAGTTTTCTTTTGTTTTTAACATGCAGAGATTTAAGCATACACCCCCCCACCCCCGCACCAATTATTTGAGATTTAGATTTCCAGTTGTTTGCTATTGCAAACAGTACCAGGTTATATATTATTTCCTAACTGTCTTTGTGCACAGCATCTACTATTTCCTTCAGATATAATCCACACCCCCTTTTAAACTGAACAGAGTTGCTCCACATAATTGAGTTAACTGAATGTATTTTAAATTCTGATTAATGAGTTGTTTAGACAAGTTACCCCATTTGCCATGAAGACGTGGTCCTTTTACATGTTCAGCAGATGTTTATCAGTCATACACTCTGGGTCAGTTAAGGGCCTCATGCTGTGAAGGAGGGGACAGAGGCTGAGGTCTAAAAGCAGAGCTAACGCAGGTGATGTGCACGTGTAAGCAGGGGTGAAGACTTGAGATTTGCACTTTAGAAAGGCCACTGTAGCCATCTCACTGAAGAAATACAGAATTGCAGATGGGCAAGGTAAAGACAGAGCGAGCTGTTAGGGATCTGTTGCAGTTGTCTGAGTGCGGCATGGGGTGACGGAGGCGGGAAGGAGAGGTGGTATCCGAGTGTTCTGCGGGAGGTGGGGTCAGCAAGACGGGGCTGTTACTTGTGTGAGGTGGTCTGTGGATGAAAAGAACTCTACTGTGACTCCCAGAGCCTTGATTCTGATTGCCTCGGTGGGAGACAGTGGCATTTGCTGTGGGAGAATACAGAAGTGGAGCTTCTATTTTGGGGGGAATTGAGCTTTGTTGTCTTTAGTTTGCAGAATCCGTGCGACATTCAGGTACAGGTTGTACGCTCCACAAGAAGGGTGCTCATCTCTTCATCGTGACTGAACTGTCAGTGCGGTGACTGCAGCAGATGTTAAGCTAGCTATCAACGCCAGAGCTGTTCTCAGTACTTAACAAATTTCAAACTGCAGCAGCCTGGCTAAGAGTCTGTGCTCTTCACTTTTGGACCAGTGCTGGTGTGTGTTTTGAAACAAGTCGGCTTGAGAAAGAGTACCATGGTGCTGAACAGTGTGGTGAGAGTTCGCTGGTTTACTTAAAAAAAAAAAAAGGTATTCTGGGCCAGTGTTGGTTGACCAGGGTTTTATACTTTGCCTTCTGGCTTTAGTTTGTGATTGAAAGTTTTGTTGACTGTAAGAAGAAAAGTCTTTCTCTTTTCTTAAGGAAAAAGTAACTTTTGTTAATTAGCTAGCAAGTACTTTTATGGACCAAAATGTTAATTTTCCATGTCTACCATGAAAAATCATGACCATGGTCTCAGCCTACCTGCGAAAT